GGGAGCAGAGAAGGAACCAGAGGAGGAAGCAGAGCAAGAAACAGAAAAGGGAGCAGAGGAGGGAGAAAAGAAGGAACCAGAGGAGGAAGCAGAGAAGGAACCAGAGGAGAAGGCAGAAAAGGAAAGAGAGGAGGGAACAGAGAAGGAAGAGAAACAGGAAGCAGAGTGATGAAGGACAGCAGCAGGTAATCTCCTACAATTAGAACTCAGAGGGTTAGCAGGTAAAACCCAGAATGTGTTAAATACCAAAGCCTTCTGCTGGCGATCCATCAAAAGCTGATCCAGGTACCAGGGGCCGTTTTCAGCACGGAGGCCCCTGAGGGCCAAACATGGCAGCTGCAGCGTAGCAAGCAGAGAGAGTTCATCTGCAGCATCCAGGGCTTCATCCACCTGCTCCACCGCAGACCGCACTGAAAAACACCCCAATGAGAGTCAGAGACGAGGAGGACCTGGTGACCGGACCGGGGCCTCTGGGGGCCCCATGAACACCACAACAGATCAGCCATATGAAGACGTCTTAATCTGGTCTGGAGGAACATTTCAACAAAGGCGCAGTGATTGGTGGAGATGAGAAATATCTGCTTAGACGGACGGAGGCGGTTCCTGCGATCTGGTTGATGTGGCGTCAGAAGTAGAAGATAACTGCGGTGTCGCATCGGTGGAGGGAGAAAAAGCAAAGGTTTTGATGGAGAGACTGAAGTTATGAGCAGTTTGGGTTCAGAATGACGGAGGAACGACAACAGTGGAGGACGCTTAGTGCATCCACGATTTTATCTGTGATGCATCAGATTCTGGTGGAGTTAACTCTGCTGGCATGTAGAGCCTAAATAGATGGAGGCCAGTGCCACAGCATCACCAAGTCTGCGCCCAGAAGGAAATGTCTCCAACTGACAAGGCTTCGCTCAACGGCCTCCATCACTTCCTGTGTGGAGGAGTTGAAAAATCTTCCTCTGTGATATCTGTGTGTTGCGTAAAGGCCAGCATCACTCTCCATACTTCAATAAAGCTAAGCTAGGCTAAGCTAGCAATCGCTTTTTGGTGTCTAACCACAACTTCACTAATTCCATTTCTCAGTTCACTAGAACATGACTACGGACTCGTGTTCTCGCCAAGTATGTTCTTGAGAAGAACACAGGAAAGTCTGAACTCTGGGAGAACGCAGCTTAAATCTGGGTTCTTGGAAGAGAACCGTACCGATGACATCACCACACGCTCGGCTCGTCTGGAGCTGCATTTCTCTTCCTGTTATTAATATTCTCTAGTAGGGATGGAACTGTTTATGAAAACCGTCAGAACCGTTCGACTGTCTCGGTTCGGTTCGCGTGTGTTGCG